CTCCCTCTCCCGCCCCCCGCCGGTGTCCCCAGCCGCAGCCCGGGCGGTGTCCACGCTCCAGGGTGGACGCGGGCGGTTAGGAAGACAGACGGACAGACACTAACAAGGGCTCTGAGGGGCACCTCGGAGCAGAAGGAAGATCTCGTGTTTGAGGGAAGGGGTCGAAGGACAGCCCTGGCTCTGGGGGACGGGGCAGGACGGGGAAGAATTGTGCTGCTGGTCGGGGCCGCCGGGGGCCCTTACGCCTCTGGCTCATACTCCTGATACTCCTCCTGCGTCGAGAGAGGGGGTGGAGCAAAGAGCGGAGGGAGGAGGGGTTGGAGACGAGGCCACGCCCCGGCCCTGCGATCCCGCCCCTCCAGGAGGAACTGCCCGTTCTGTCTCCAGTCCCAGGACACCTGCGCCTTTTCCAGATCCCACTTCTTGGGCCTGGGTCTGGAAGGGGGTGCTGAATATCCCTGGCCCAACGTTCTCATGCCAGGGACCTCCCATCCTGGCCTTGGGGTACAGCATCTTCCTGGGTGCTCCCCCCTCACCTGAGGCGGTTCCTCGTAACTCTCCCCTTCGGGCTCCACCAGAGGTTCAATCAGGGGCTCCTCAGCAGCTTCCTGGGCCACCTCCTCGGGCTGTGGGCAGAGAAGGGCAGGATGGTGAGGGCGGCTAGATGGTCCCCAAACTCCTATGCGGGTAAGGTTTTTGGAAGAGTGGGAAGGCTAGGATGGGTTAGCAGTGCAAGGAGAATTTTCTTTTTTTTTGAGAGATTTTCACCATAGGGCGCGTGCGCTCGCCAGACAGAGAGAGAGAGACAGAGAGACAGAAAGCAGGAAATCACCCCCCAGGGGGGATGACCACGCCACAATCCCTTCTCCATTCTCCTCTCGGGATCTTGGGCACACGCACACACACGCACCCGGTGTGAGTTTAAGCCACCCGTAACTCTCCCCTTCGGGCTCCACCAGAGGTTCAATCAGGGGCTCCTCAGCAGCTTCCTGGGCCACCTCCTCGGGCTGTGGGCAGAGAAGGGCAGGATGGTGAGGGCGGCTAGATGGTCCCCAAACTCCTATGCGGGTAAGGTTTTTGGAAGAGTGGGAAGGCTAGGATGGGTTAGCAGTGCAAGGAGAATTTTCTTTTTTTTTGAGAGATTTTCACCATAGGGCGCGTGCGCTCGCCAGACAGAGAGAGAGACAGAGAGACAGAAAGCAGGAAATCACCCCCCAGGGGGGATGACCACGCCACAATCCCTTCTCCATTCTCCTCTCGGGATCTTGGGCACACGCACACACATGCACCCGGTGTGAGTTTAAGCCACCGGGTCCGGGACGCGAACCGCGGTCAACTATGTGGGAATCCAGCGACATAGCCATTACGCTAACTGCTGGTTCCCGCAAGGAGAATTTTTAATTAAATTGTTTATTTCGAATGCCTTGAAAGTGGGGTGCAGGTGTGAAGCGCAAAATCTCCAGCCCCCTTCCCCCAGCACCGATGGCCTCCTGCACTTCCGTGGTGGGATGGATGGGCCCAGCCCAGACAGCATGTTTAGTCTCTTGGGTATCTTTGCCCCTTCGTAGCAGGCACAGTGCTAGGCATTGGGGCCCCAGAGATAACCATGGAGGCTCCTCTGGGCTGGAGGGAGAGGAGGCCGAGGGATGGGGCTGGAAAGGGACTCTGAGCCATTCCCCTGCCACCTTCCCCCATCCCTCCCCCAGGGCTCTGCATGCCCTGGTTTCTTCAGCTGTTGCTATTTTAAGATAAGCTGGAAGCAACAGCTCATGGTGCTGCTTGGATGTGCGAGCTAAGAGTCTCCCCTCCCCCCGCATCTGCTGCCCAGATGGGCACAGGCCAGCGGGGGCATGTGGGGAGCTGCCAGGCACAGGGCGGCCCCTGCAGGTGAGTGCATGCGTGTGCACAGACATGGGACTGAGCAGGCTGTACACATGGGAGTTGGGTGTGTGCACGGCTGTACTGCCACATGAGGGCTGGAACACACCTCGGGCCCGAGGAGGCCTGCCCTGACCACCGCTGTGCTCCAGTGCCCTGGCCCATCTGGGCAGCTCCTTCACATGGCCTGTCCAGGTGGGGCCTCCCCACAGTAGAGAAGGGAGGGGGAATGTTGTTCACCCAGCCAGGACCACAACCCAGGGAAGAAACAGTGATGCGAGTTCCATTTGAGCACAGTCCCGGTGGAAACAGCCCGAGGGTCCACAACAGCAGGGTCTGAACGCCGTGGACAGTCACACGGTGGACAGTACATGAGGACGGAGGACAGTACGGGAGCAGGGCTGAGGCTCACACTTACCACGGCACGAAGTAAGCCAGATGTGGAAGACGAAGTAAGCCAGATGTGCAAGAGCGTGCCGTTACGACAACATTCGTGTGACTACCAGCTAGTCTGTGGTGACAGAAGTAGCAGCCACCCTGGGAGAGGGTTGGCAGGGCCAGGACAAGGGGGCAGCTAGGATACAAATATTCGGGATGCTTGCTCTCAGGGCCACATAGCGAGTCATCAAGGGTCAGTGTCTCTGTCTCACCCTAGTCCTGGCCCTTGGAGCAGGGACTTGAGGGGGGATCCAGAAGGCTTTTGGGGCTGATGTTCCAGCTTGAGTTGGCTGCTGGTTCCACGGGGGAGTTCCCTTGGGGAGCATGTCATAGAGCTGCAGGTTTTCTGCAGGCATGTTGGACTTCAATAAAATTCACTCCATAAAGAAATCCCAGGGGCCAGATGGTGGAGCAGCTGTAAAATACGATGACCCACTGGGAGAGTTCTGGGCTCCTATCTGGAGGCCTCCCTGAGGCCTGACGGAGCACGGGCCGAAGCGTGGGGTGGATCATGTAGCCAAGACCCTGTTGGAGCTGCTGTGACTTTACCTCGCTCGTGAAACAAATAGATACATACACTTAAAAAAATCCCTGGCCAGCAGGTGGCATAACGGTTAAGGCACTGGACTCCCACTTGGCTGACCGTGGTTTGCGTTCTGGGTCTGGTGGCTTGAAAAATCACACTTGGCATGTGTAAGCACGTGCCAAAAATCCCAGGAGGAAAAGGGATGAAGGCGTGGCCATCTCCCCGAGGGTGATTTCTCACTTTGCCTCTTACTGTCTCTGTCTCTATAAACACACACGCCCTATGGCAAAAAGCTTAAGCAAAAACAACAAAAATATTCGGGCTAGCAGGTGGTGTGGAGGTTAAGGTGACTGGATCCCACCTAGCTAGCTCCACGGTTCAAGTCCCAACTCTGTGGTTCAAGCCCTAGACTTGGCTTGAAAATCACACCCGGCACATGCATGCCCAAAATCCAGAGGGGAGGATGGAGGGGAAATGACCGTGGAGTGGCCACCCCCCTGAGGGGTGATTTCCCACTTTCCCCCTCTCTTTCTGTCTTCAATGAGCACACAGGCCCTAGCGCAGAAGAAAGGAAAAAGAAAGCAAGCCCAGCAAGGCTACTGGCTAGCTGTCTGGCATCCGGCAGTCATTTCACCTGGAGTGGCAGCAGCCTCACAGGGGAAACGAGGAGATGCTTTCTGCTTTATGGGGACAGCGAGGATTCCCAGAGGCTGGATGGGCAGCCAGCTGGAAGGCAGAGTTCCCAGAAATGCTGGCCCTGGGCTTCTGTGGGCTCCCTGCAGCTGGCCCTGAAGGGTTGTTGTTTAGATTATAACTCTGATCGGAGCTCCCCTGGGAGAGCAGCGTTAAGGTGTTAACAAGCACTGCTAGGAGGAGGCAGCCAGACAGAGGGTGACATGCAAAGGCCCAGCACGTCAGCCCAGGCCTGCCTCTCTGCACCTGGCCCCAGTGCGTCGGCACCGGAAGACTCTGATGACAAGGACCGGAGCCCATCTCCCTAATCACCTCACAAGAGAAGTAGGTGGGGGGGTCTCGAGGAGGTCCCTTGCTCTGAGCCTACTCCTTCATCTGTAAAATGGGTGTTACTGTGCCCTCCTCACAGGGTTACCGTGAAGATCCAAGAGTCACCCTCTTTGAGGCCCATGCCTGGCCATGTGAGATCGATGAATGGGTGTGAGGACTGGTGGCTAGATTCGGAGAAACGATGTCACACAGACTAAGATGCAGGTGCAGGTCAGGCCCCAGACTTCTTTTTCCTCTGAAAATTTTCATTGCCAGTGGGCGTGTGCATTTACCAGAGAGAGAAAACAAGCCCCCCTTACTGGGCCTGGTCACCGCAGTTCCCTCTCCCCTACTTCCCCATCCCAGTAGGATGCCCACGTGGGCCTGTCATGTTCCCCAAGTCGCCTGACCGGGACTCACACTGCAGGGGGCCCCGTGGGGCCCAGCCCCTCCATACACAACAGGACCACTGCACCAGGGGGCCGGCCCAGGGCCCAGACTTCTGCTGGTGGGAGGGGCCGAGTGCCCACGCTGTCTGGAGTGGGCGGTGGCTGCACTCACGCTGGTTAGGCTGGCCGCCCGGACCAGATGTGGACGGGAGGGACGAGAGGTCCCTACCCCACAGAGGCACAGTCTGCACGTGTCCACGGACAGGCACAGGGCAGCCACACCAGGGCCGTCTGTACCCATGCGTGAGTCCACAGAGCACACTGCCAGGTGGTACACTTCCATGCACACCTGTGGTCACATGGTCCCCTGGGGCATGTGCAGCCTGCTGATGCGATCATGTGGCCACAGTCTTAAACTGCAAGCCAGGCTCTCTTTTGGGAGGAGGGGGGCCCAATTTTTGCTATCAGGTGTGTGCGCTCGCCAGGGAGAGACAGAAAATGAGAAAGCACCCCTTGGAGAAAATGATCATGCTGCAATCTCATCTCTTCTTAGGATTTTGGGCATGTACATGTGCCCAGCGTGTTTTTCAAGCCACTGGATCTGGGACTTGAACTGCATACCTGGCCATGTGGGATCCAGCCACCTTCCATCCCCTTTTATAAGACAGGGTCTCGGGCTGGCCTGCAGTGCAACAGTTACGGCTGTGCATAGGAAGCTGGATTCTGGGCTGGCTCCATGGCCTGGTGGAAGGGACGGCGGGAGCCACATGGCCAACGAACTTTTTTTTTGAGAGAGGTTTTTTTACTATAGGGCACATGTGCTCACCAGAAAGACAGAGAGAGACAGAAAACGAGAAATCACACCCCGGGGGATGACTTCTCCTCCATTCTCCTCTCGGGATCATGGGCACAAATGCACACGCGCCTGGTATGAGTTTAAGCCACCGGGTCCGGGACTGGAACCACAGTAGACTACGTGGGAGTCCCGCGACATAGCCATTACACTAACTGCTGGACCCACAGTCAACTACCTCTTTAAGTCCTGGATCTGCTGGCCGTGGAAAGCACCAGGTGTATATGTGTGTGCGTGTGCACGTGCCCTGAATCCCAAGGAGAGGGACATGGAGAGAGGACTGTGGCACGGCCATGGCCATGGTGGGGACTTTCTCCTCTCCTCTGTGTCTTTAGCAAGCGCATATGCTCCACGGCCAGCAACAACACAGACTAGACCAGCTGGGTTCCACGGGGCAGGCTCTGGTTAGCATCCTGGCCCTCGCGATGTGTTTTCCAAGCTGGGCATGTGTGTCCCAAACCCTGGTGCGAAGGGAAAATGGAGGAAAGAGATTGTGGTGTGACCGCCCTTTGGAGGGTTCGCTCCTTTCTCTGGCAAGCGCATGGCCCCACTGGCAATTGGGGAAAAAATAAAAATAAAAACAAGGCCTGATTCTGTCACAGCCCTCCTGTCTCAGTGTCCTAGCTGGGACCAGACGAAGGAACCACGGCGCCTGGCTCTTTACTAGACAGGGTCTCACTATATGCCCGGGCTGGCCACGGACTCACGACCCTCCTGCCTCTCAGGTTGCTGGAGGCACACCGTGGTGGCTTTTGGTTTGGACCAGGAATCGAGCTAGGACTTCCATGTGGTCCCAGCCTGCTAGCACAATGTCTTGGCAACACCTGCCACTGTGGCTGGGCCACACCAGGCTCTTTCAGCGACTTTCGAAATGTGGTCCCTGGAACCGCAACACTGGTGTCACCTGTGTTCTTGTCAGAAATGCAGATTTTAGGTGAACCAGCAGTCCTAGGGAGGGCCTGCGACCAGTACCCTAACCTAGTGATTTGGAGCTTGCTTGAATTCTGAGGACCCTGACCTGCGTTACCTCCAATCAAGAACACTACCGCGTCCATCTTCTGTTGCACGGGCACATGCTCAGGCCGAGAGACAGGATGGGGCCTGCCTAGGCTCCTGGGCAGGCAGTCATGGAGTCAGGGTTAAACCCAGCTTTGTAGGATGCCGGGGCTCACAGCTCTCATCCCAAGGGATGTCCCACTCAAGGCCTCTGTCTCCCTGCACACGCAAGTAGCCACCAGAACCCCCCCTAGGGAGACACACCCGCACCAATGTGTGATGTAGATCACCCCTCACTCCGCCAGGGCTCACCCAAGCTCACGTCGGCCTCAGGCCCTTGGTCCGTGCTGTTCCTACCACCCGAAATATGCTTCCCGCGCAGCTACTCATGCCTGCCTCTCTCCTCCTCCTCAGAGAAGCCCACCCCTTGGCTCTCTGTCTCAGCACCATGGTCTCGTCTGCAAAGTACGCATCCCCATCGGAAACCATCTGCTCTGTGTGGCCCGTCTACGCCGGCTACGATGGCAGCCGCATGACGTGGGTGCCCACTCATGGCAGTGACCTCGACAACAGCTTCTCTCAGCCATGGGGCCTTGCTGAAGGAGCAGACGTGAATGCACAGTGACACATGGAGACACAACCCGGAGTGGCCCAGGTCACACAGACATGCACCCTGCAGACGCCCGGAGCTGAGTCGGCATAGCCCTGCAGAGCGTGAGGCCAGGCGGCGTTCCCGAGGCTGGCCGCGGGGAGGGGAGGCTGTGGCTGTGTGTCTGGTGTGCATGTGTGCATGCACGCGCGTGCATAGTGGGAGGCCTGCTCACCTTCAGGTCGGTGGGGAATTCCTCCTTCTTCACCAGTCCTGTAGCAGCTGCGATGTTCCCAGCCCCGGAAAACACGGCCCCGCCCAGATGTGACGCCTGCTCCTTGGTTTTCTCAGCCACTGGGGCAGGGAGAGGATTGGGGAAGGGTTGGGGCGGGAGCAAAGGGAACAGAGAGATCCCCTGGAGCATCCCTGGCCTTCCTTCCCCTGGGAGCGCCCCCAGAGAAGCCTCAGGAGTCCCCCCAAGTCCTGTCCTCTGGTTCCTGTACAGGTCACAGGGCCAAGGGAAGGGAGGGGCTGTGCCATGGCTGGGCAGTACCTGAGGCCACACCTTGGACCACCCCCTCTCGGGTCTTGCTTCCTGCAGGGAGAGAAAGAAGCGTGTGTAAGGGCTCTGGGCAGACAGCAGGCTGCAGCACGGCGCCGCTCCACTGGGCCGAGCCCGGACAGCAGTGGTCACAGCCTCCTCAGGCCCCACATCCCACAGGCAGCCCCGGATCACGCCCCATCCCTGCTCCCTCAGGCCTTCCGTTCTCACCCATTGGACGTGAACCCACCCCTCCCGCTAATGGTAGCTGTGGGCCAGCGCTGCACAGGTTTGGTTGAATTCCCTCCCTATGCGAGGAGGCAGGTGCTGCTATTGTCCCCGTGTCACAGAGAACAGGAGCCAGTAAGGGTCCCCCGACTAGCAGGTGGCCTTACGGGCACTTGAGTTCAGGTGTTTCTGACTCCAAACCAGCCACTCTACAAGTGTGGAGGACAAGTTTGGGGGCTGAGAGGGAGCGTCCCAGGAGCTACTGTATTTTTATTATTTTATTTTGCCAGTGGGCACGGGCACTCACCAGAGAGAGAGAGATAAAGCACCCCCTGATGGGGCATGATCGTGCCACCATCCCTTCCCCTCCATCTCTCCATCCCGTTGGGATTTTGGACACATATGCACACATACCTGGCATGTTTTTCAAGCCACCAGGGCTGGGATTCAAACCACCGTTGGCCATGTGGCATTCAGCTGCCCTTACCCACTGCCTAAACCCTGGGCCCAGCCCAAAAGCTATGCATTCGTACAGGCTGTCTTGGTGCCCCATGCATGGCTGCCCTCTTGTGGCCCTCAGCTCTACTTCCTCTGAAGATGCTCTCCTAACAGGGCACGAACCTCTCCTGGCAAAGCGGGGAGTGTGTAAGGTGCAGGGTGGGCCCAAGGGGAACAGGCAGGTTGCTGCCAGCACCCTCGGCATTGCTGGGCCTGGGGTGGCAGCGAGGGCCGACAGAGGAGTGGGTTGTGTCCTGTCATGAAGACCTGACAGCCCAAACCACAGCTCACAGAGCCAGAAGTGGGTGGCTGGGCAGGCGGGCAGTAGAGAGGCTGGCGCGGGAGACTGTGTCCTCAGGGCTAAGGCCAGCAGAACCCTGGGCCAGGAGGGGCGGCTCTGTGCACCCCCCAGACATTTGTTGGCACCTGCTCTGAGCCAGGCCCTTGGCCCTTCCTTCGCCGTCTGGAGGGGTGAAGATGAGGACAGACAGGGTAGGGAGAAGATTTCCAGCCTCCAGGGCCTGTGTGAGTGGGGAGGGGACACCGCCTGGGCCTTGGGCATGTGGGAGAGGAGATGGGAGAGGGTGTCGCAGCCACAGGGCACCCTGCAGGCCAGGCACACAGCTGTGCCTTCAGGGCGTCCACGTACCGCACGACGGGCATGGCAGGATATGGAGCTAGAACCGCACAGAGGCAGGGCCGTGAAGGGCACCGAACCAAGGTTGGCTCTGGGTTCTGCGTAGGGACTGGGGGTGGGCGTCAAGGGCTCCTGGCAGGGGGAGGGGAAGAAGGTGCCAGTCTAAGGAGAGGGCAGCGTGGCAGGCTGGGACAGGGTCTATTAGCAGAGAGTGCATGGGGTGCCAGGGGTCAACGGGAATGAGGGGGCTGGGGAGGAGGCAGGGGAGGCCAGAGCTGGGGTCAGTCGGATGCGGGCTTAAGCCCTCTGCTGGTCTCTGTGGCACTGCCCTCACCCCAGCCGCTCTCCTCTGGGGGCCACCAGTGGGCCTCCTTGCCATTCACCCTGCCCCCATGGGCCTGAGGGAGCTTCCTGAATCAGACCATGTCCATCTGCTGCTTACAGCCTCTCGTGGCCATTATAACACTGCCCTGGCCTGTGAGGGCAGCTCGCGGGCTGGCTCCTGTCCGTCTCCGTCTCTGTCACTGTCCTGCACCCTCCAGTCCGCTCTGGGGCCTTTGCGCCCACCTGCATTTTCCATGCCCTTCCCCCTTGGCTCCTTAATATTTAGGGCTCCGTGTGAGTGACACCTCCCTGGGTATCCCCTCTTTCTGCCCCGCCACACAGCGGCCCCCACCCCAGCCACTTGACATCACATCCCACAGCATCAGGAGAGGGCACCTTGGTCTCCAGCACTGCTACGCCCTAGCTTCCACGTAATGCCTGGCACTAAATACTTCCCAGACCACCACCACACATCTGCCGACCCCCTGCCCTTCCCCTGTGTGCTAATGACCCTGCAGGCTCAGCTCCTTCCACACTTGGGGTGAGAGGGTTTAACCACCCAGCCTTCCTCCTGGCACCTGCTGGCAGCAGCGAGGAGGGTGGACAGGCAGGAGCCATGGCCAAGGTGGAGCAGGGGGGCCCAGGAGTGGGGGTGACTGGAGAAGTGAGCTGGGGAGAGCCCCATTACAGAGGGCAGGCTGCCTGGAGGTGGGGTTTGGGTTTAATCAGCTGTGTGACCTTGAGCAAGGTGGTCAAACCCCTGGGAAGGCGATGCTCCCAGGTCTGGAGGAAGGACTGGGCACTACAGGAGGAATGGCCTGCAGGCGCTTCACTGAGCACTTGTCTGGAGTAAGCGAGCGACGCCGGACCTGCCAATAAGGAGGAGAGCCGGCTGCCTGCTACTCTCTGCAGCGGCCTCTGGCCTTCCAGCTGAACTCCACCCTCCCCAACGGCCGCCC